TTTTTCCTATTATATGAAAAATGTCTATGACATTAATTTGCATGAAAAGATTAGATCCCCTAGGTCTCGTTTCCTTAGAACTTTTTTTTCAATTCGATGTTGATCTATCTTATGTTCAGTGAGGAAGCTGTTCAAGTTTCGGTGCTAAATGAATTTTACCAGATGAGGAATCAGTCACCAGGGCCATCACACGAGGTCATAAAATTTGCTGTCTTTTTAGTTGATTTTCTTTATATATGTTTATTGGTATCATTATATGAACTGACATGGAGATTTATATATCGACAGTTCAAATTCTGGGTCCTTACGAGACGAAAGGGTAACGTTTTCATGATTGACGCAAGGGATCTTTCCATTGCATGGTCAGAGAACTCCAACCATTGGACCTGGCTCCCTCTCCCAAACCAAAAATCAAAGTAAAGCTTCTCTTAAAAGTATTCATTATATAAATTGAGAGAAATCTCTTAAATGCGGCCTTTTATCAAACAAAATTTGTTATCTTAAAATGCCATAAAAAATAATTATTTTAAAACTTTAATTCATCTTTCATACAACTGATTTATAGTAGTGCCTTATAATTTTAGTAGAGTCTCCTACATTTTTGTTGCATTTTAAGTAATACAAAGTTTGGTATTTGTTAACTCTCGTTAATTCTTTTTTACAAGAAGGAGTTTTTGACAAGCGGTTAAATACGACTAATATATGTCTTATTCCAAAAACGGAGCGACCGACTCGGATGACGGAATTACGGCCTATTAGTCTCTGCAATGTTGGTTACAAAGTTATATCAAAGATCCTATGTCAAAGACTTAAGAAGATCTTACCAAATCTTATTTCGGAGACCCAATCTGCTTTTGTAGAAGGGCGACTAATTTCGGATAATATACTAATAGCACAAGAGATGTTTCATGGTCTGAGAACTAACCAGTCATGCAAAGGAAAATTTATGGCTATTAAGACGGATATGAGTAAAGCTTACGATCGGGTTGAATGGAGTTTCATAGAAGAATTATTAAGGAAGATGGGTTTTTGCGAAAAATGGATTTCGTGGATGATGTGGTGTATCACAACAGTCCAATATAGGGTCTTACTGAATGGACAACCAAAAGGGCTAATAATTCCAGAGAGGGGACTTAGACAAGGAGATCCTTTATCTCCTTACTTATTCATTCTCTGTACGGAGGTACTCATTGCGAATATTAAGAAAGCGGAACGTGAAAACTTGATTACAGGTATCAAGGTATCCACAGCTAGCCCGTCGGTATCTCATCTCTTATTTGCTGATGATAGTTTGTTCTTTTGCAAAGCCAATAAAGAACAATGCGGGGTAATTTTGGGAATTCTAAAACAATATGAAGCGGTTTCAGGGCAACAAATTAATTTTTCAAAATCATCTCTTCAGTTTGGCTACAAAGTTGATGAGTCTATTAAGGAAGAAATAAAAGCGGCTCTGGGTATCCACAATCTTGGTGGCATGGGATCTTATCTTGGTCTACCGGAAAGCCTTGGTGGATCTAAGACAAAGATTTTCTCCTTTGTTCGAGATAGACTTCAGGTTAGGATAAATGGTTGGTCGGCTAAGTTTTTATCGAAAGGCGGAAAAGAAGTTATGATTAAATCGGTAGCTGCGGCATTACCAACATATGTTATGTCATGCTTCAGACTACCAAAATCAATAACTTCTAAACTTACGAGTGCGGTCGCAAAATTTTGGTGGAGCTCAAACGGTGAATCGAGGGGAATGCATTGGATGGCTTGGGATAAACTTTGTAGTAGTAAATCGGAAGGTGGGATAGGATTTCGGAACGTGGATGATTTTAATTCAGCGTTACTGGCTAAACAATTATGGCGTTTGATTATGGCTCCTGAGTCACTATTTGCACGGGTATTTAAAGGACGGTATTTCCGGAAATCCAATCCATTGGATAATATAAAATCGTACTCTCCTTCTTATGGTTGGAGAAGTATAATGTCAGCTAGATCTCTGGTTCTTAAAGGACTTATTAAAAGAGTTGGTTCTGGGGCGTCCATCTCAGTATGGGAGGACTCATGGATACCAGCTCAATTCCCGAGACCAGCAAAAAGTAATGGTTCAATTACTGATCCATCTTTAAAAGTTAATCAACTTATCGACAGCCGGACAAACTTTTGGAATATGAATCTCTTGGCGGAGCTTTTTGATCCAGAGGATGTCGCGCTGATTAGTGCTTTGCCTTTGGGTGTCTCAACTAAGGAGGATACCCTTGGTTGGCACTTCACAAAATCAGGAAATTATACGGTTAAATCGGGTTACCATACCGCACGGATAGAGACTTCTGATGCCAACCTTAAATTTTTTGGCCCGGATATCAAATCTCTGAAAGCTTATGCATGGAAGGTGAAGTGTCCACCAAAGCTACGACATTTTTGTGGCAAATATCATCAGGTTGCGTACCTGTTACGGAGAATCTGAGAAAGAGAGGTATAAATTGTGACACCGGATGTGTTAGATGTGGCGCTGTGGAGGAAACAATTAATCACACACTTTTTGAATGTCATCCTGCAAGACAAATCTGGGCTCTTTCTACAATCCCTTCGGTTACAGGGATTTTTCCCTCGGCTTCTATTTACGCGAATTTGGATCATCTTTTCTGGAGAATTCCATCAGAGATTGATTCATCTTCATTTCCATGGATAATTTGGTATATTTGGAAAGCGAGAAATGAGAAGATTTTTGATAATGTGGACAAAGACCCATTAGAGGTTCTACATTTAGCGGAGAAAGAGGCACAAGCTTGGCAGGTTGCTCAATCTGAGCTACATATTGAAATCCAAGGTTCTTTAGATACTGTAACTCAAAATCGCGTGAGAGAGATTTCATTGGATTCCAGTTACTTCGGACATCGGTGTTTCGTGGATGGATCATGGAAAAAGACTGATATTTTTTCCGGAACAGGGTGGTACTGTACATCGGCAAATTGAGAGATGCCAACCATGGGAGCTGCAAACATCCGGCGAAGTCTATCCCCCCTACATACAGAAGTCGAAGCTCTACTCTGGGCGATGAAGTGTATGATTGGTGCTGACAACCAAGATGTAGCTTTCTTTACAGACTGTTCAGATTTGGTGAAGATGGTGTCTTCCCCAACCGAATGGCCGGCCTTCTCATTGTATTTGGAAGACTTGAAGAGTGACAAGGAAGAATTCTCTAATTTTTCTTTATCTTTAATTCCGCGTAGCGCAAATGTAAAAGCGGATAATTTGGCACGAAAAATTCGTACCGAACCGCATCATATCACTTATGTAAACAACATTCCCCAGGAATGGCTCTTTTGAGCATCTATTTTATTTAAGCTGTTGACAAAAAAAAAAAAAAAGTTTGGTATTACTGAAAATGCTCCATAAATTTGTGAAATAAAATAAAGGGGTGCTTTTAGATAATGTTATTTTCTATACGAAGAAAAATAATCGATTGGGTTTATTATACAATCTTTTGAACCATAAAAATTTAATAACTCATAAAAAATGGTGAAAATATTATTTTTATATGCAATATTAAGTGACAAGCAAGATAACTAACACAGAAATATATACTTTTTAAAGATAATTTCCTAGATTTATTATCTATTACTAAACACAATTTTTTTGCAGTGAATCGGTCGTAGAAATTGCGTTTTTGAAAAGTGCAAGCTGGCTAGACATAGCTGGAAAGTTTGACACACGATATTTGTCCCCGAGGACAAGGTATGAGGTGGTGTTTGTGGTGAAGTTGGAATACACATTCGAATGGGAGACACCGGTGAAGTTAAAGCTGGACTTGCCCAATACTTGGGAGAAACCGCAAGAACAAAGTGTGGACATGTTCGATTATATAAGTAACCAATGGCTCGAAATTTCGGTTGGGGAGTTCACCACATCTGTGAAAAATGTCGGGGAAATCTCTTTTGCAATGTACGAACATGAGTGCCAACTGTGGAAGTCAGGGCTCTTCGTCAAAGGTGTTACAATTCGTCCCAAATTCTAAGTTATTTATAAGCTTGGCTGACCTCTCGTTTTCTCTTTTAGCCATCATTTTATGTACCATATGTACATGTGTTGTGTGTAGATTTTCGGGAATTTTCCGTTAATTAATAATTTCTTGGGTCGAAACGGCTAAAACAAAAAGACCTGAAAAAGAATGTTCTGGCTTTATCTTAGTTTTTACATCAGAGAGCAATTGGTAGTAAGACAAACATTATCGAACAGGCAGAACCGGCCCACAGATTATGAGGGCCACAGAGCCCAAAAAGACTTTAGGGCTGTTTTTGTTTTAGTAAAAACAAAATGGACTTTATCAATTTGTTTTTAAAAGATCAAGAGCATTTGCATTTTTGCAAATTATATTCATCATCCAAATTAAGCATAAGCAAATAAACCGAACCGAACGTACCGAACCGAAACCGAAGCTAAAAGAACCGAACTGAACCGAACCAAACCGAGAATTTGAAAATAACCGAATGGATATTAAATTTTATAACCGAAAGAACCGTAACCGAATCGGTACCGAACCAAAACATTTCGGGTAACCGAAAATACTCGAAATATAATTGTATTTTCAAAAATATTAGTTATTTGTAGACCAAATAATCAAAAATACTTGAAAAATATATAAAAATAACAAAAATACTCAAAAATAACCGAAAAATATCAAAATATCCAAAAATACTGAAATATCCAAAAATATCCAAAGCAAAATAACCGAATGGATACTAAATTTAAAACCGAAAGAACCGCGAACCGAAACCGAACCGAAATTTCAAAATACCCGAATGTATATTAAATTTTAGAACCAAAAAAACCGAACCGATAATCGATGGGGTAACCGAACGCCCATGAGTAATCCAAATTTCGTTTCCTCACAAAATAATAATTTACAAGAAAAAAAAAAAGGCAATGTGATTGATTTTCTCACTCAATCGGCAACTCGCTTTACTCGGTGAAGAAAAGCCAATTTCGCCGCAAAGCTCAAACCTTTGATCGTTCTTGATTCTGGGTTTCTCCTAAATCATCCAATTTGGTATCGAATTTGTGTTTCTTCGATCCAATTTCTTCACAATCTCAACCCAGAAGAAAGAATCATGCTTTCGTTATCCTCTTCTTCTTCTTCGTTACTTCGTCCGAGTTTACACTGCCATGGTTCTTCTTCTGGTCAGTCAATCGTTGTACCAAGAAAGAGTGTTATATCGTTTCGTCGGAAAGTCTCTTGCTGTTGCATAGCCCCACCTCAGAACTTGGACAACGATGCCACCAAATTCGATGTAATAATCTCACAATCAAATGATTTTCAATTTTGATTGCAACTTGTTGATAATGTGATGATATCTGCAGAGTCTCTCCAAGTCTGGAGGAGGTATGTGTAAACAGCGAAAGCTTGAGAATGATTCTGATGTTCTTATAGAATGTCGAGATGTCTACAAATCGTTTGGGGACAAACATATCTTGAAAGGTGTTAGCTTTAAGGTATTTTGTTTTGTCATTTTCACATTGAGAGTACTTGCTTTTGTAGAATGTTTCTAGCTTTAGGCTTTGTGCGGCTTGTCATCACTCTCGACTGTTTTCAGCGGTTTTCTTTGCTACTATTTTGCTCTAAGGATCACATTGACAAACCTCATGCCATAAGCTGTTGTATCGTATTTTAAAGTCTTGATTCCCGGGCACCTTCGCAGTTCTCTTTACACCGGTGAATATTTTTCATATTGTATTCGTATGTCTTTTCTACTGTTAGACCCATACTTTGATGAGATGCTACGAGGTTATCTTTTCCCAGACTTGTTTTGTATCTTTAGATTAGGCAAAGCCTTAGGATTTTGAAAGTCACACAAACACACCGCGTTCTAACCAATTTTTTTTGTATGCAGATTAGACATGGCGAAGCTGTTGGGGTGATCGGTCCTTCTGGGACTGGAAAATCAACCATTTTAAAGATCATGGCTGGTCTTCTTGCTCCAGACAAGGTTTGAAACTGTTGCATGTCATGCGCTATATCTTTCCTCTATCTATCTGATCACAGCCTTCAGATTATGGATTGTCTCTTGGTATGTAGGGAGAAGTTTACATACGAGGAAAAAAACGAGCTGGTTTGATAAGTGATGAGGAAATATCAGGACTTCGTATTGGCCTGGTAAGTGCTGTTCTGAGATATAATTCTCATGAGTAGTGGATTTTTTTGTTGTGAGTTTGTATCTCAATGGCTTTTTTTTTTATCTATCTCACAGGTATTTCAGAGTGCAGCTCTCTTTGATTCTCTATCAGTTCGTGAAAATGTTGGTTTTCTACTGTAAGATGTTATTCTTTAACGTCCGACATAACCTCATTTCTAGCCAAAAGATTGCTGATGTTCTTTTGTTTTCAGTCATATTGATTAAACTTTTCTATGGTAACTGATCACAGTTATGAAAGATCAAAAATGTCCGAGAATCAAATATCTGAGCTTGTGACTCAAACCTTGGAAGCTGTTGGTTTGAAGGTATCTTAATTCAGTACAACTTTCATAACATAGGCTAGATCAGTACCTAGTCAATAGTCCACATCCAGCTTATTATTGTTTTTGTTTCTAATAAGATCAGGGGGTTGAGAATCGATTACCTTCTGAGCTATCTGGTGGAATGAAGAAAAGGGTTGCTTTAGCTCGTTCACTAATTTTTGATACAACGAAAGAGGTCATAGAGCCAGAGGTAATCTGAATATCTACTTAAGTTCATGAATTTGTTTCTGCTTTAAAGGCTAGACTCCTGCATCCATATAGTTGTTGACGAAACTTAAGTCATCATGTGGCAAAAATTAGGAATTCATGTATGGGTTTCACTGCCTTTTCGTAGGTGCTTTTGTACGATGAGCCAACTGCTGGACTTGATCCAATTGCATCAACTGTAGTTGAAGATCTTATACGGTCTGTTCACATGACGGACGATGATGCAGTTGGAAAACCTGGAAAAATTGCCTCTTATCTGGTTGTTACCCATCAACATAGCACCATTCAAAGAGCTGTGGACAGGTTTCTGCTTTTAGTCCCATATTACAAGATATTGTTTTGCAGCTTTTGCTTCACCCCTTGAGAAGTTTTTGTTTCTTCTATTCAGGTTATTGTTTCTGTATGAAGGAAAGATCGTTTGGCAAGGAATGACACATGAATTTACAACCTCAACAAATCCAATAGTTCAACAGGTCCCTTTTTCACTTATTCACATCTAATTTCAACATTGAAGTACTTGTGATGCAAATTTAGTCATCCCTTTTTGTTTCGTATCTTTCAGTTTGCTACAGGCAGCCTCGATGGACCAATCAGATACTAGGGGAGGCAAACCGAGCCTAAACGGGTACACTAACCGATAATAGGGGACGCAAACGAGGCATGTCTGACATACAACATATGTCTTGGATTCTGGCAAACATATTAAGATTCGATAGCAATTGTCATGATCAATTGGTTCAATACGAATCTAAATCTACTTGTAAACACTCTTTTATCTTAGATGCATAGATCAGGAAAGCATTGTAAGTTGAGATATCATTACGCATCAATGAGAATTTGGTTTAATGTGCCAAGAACAAAGACCTGCATTCTCAGACATATTCCAACAAAACTGAAACTTTTAATTGATACTTGTGAATCTCCAAAAACGGTAGTAACAAATGTATATATACATTATAGTAGAAGGAAAGAAGGATTTGTCTTTAACTACCCAACTTGAAAGCATCAACAAAGAGACCTAAGCAAACACCAGCTTTCCAAAAATTCATAAACACAACAAAAGACTGCAACTTCCCTGAAAACATTGAAGACGACGGTTTCTTATACATAAGCATACCGATTCCTTCAATCGCAGCCACGACAATTCCCGCAACAAGCACATCCCAATCACCAGTCTGTCCAAGAATGGTAGCCAATGCATTGGCGGTATAGAAACCAAGAAGCAGCAGAAATATCTTCATTGGGAAGTTTTTTCTTGCAGAGTTTATCTTCCCAAGTAACTGTTTGCCTCCTGCAACCGCAATTCGACCCAACCGAGTGCTACCAAGACCGGTTCTGTCTCCATTCATCTCTTGCCCTCCTCCACCATTATCTCCAGGAATAGACGAACCTGTGTCTAACGCAAACGCTATTTTCCGGTTTCGTCGTCTCATCTGAAAACTATTGGCCAAAATGAAGAGACTTTTCAATAACCAAACCAATGATTACACCCAAATTCAAACGCTAACGCCCAAATTCAACAAGCAAAACAATGATTACGCCCAAATTCAATAAGCAAACGCCCAAATTTGAACAGTAAACGGCCAAATTCAACTGCAAACGCCTACATTCAATAAGCAAACCAATGATTACACCCAAATTCAAACGCAAACGCCCAAATTCAATAAGCAAAACAACGATTACGCCCAAATTCAATAAGCAAATCAACGATTACGCCCAAATTCTATAAGCAAATGCCTAAATCAAAATTTTTAATGCTGAAATAATGATGATTATGCACAAAATCAAACGCAAACGCAAAACGGTACCTTTTCATTGGATAAGGGAATGAAGTAAGAGTAATGGACGAAACTCTTCTACTCCTGTGGAAGACATTAATCATAAAGGAGAGACCTTTTTCAATCTCCAGAATTGGGAAAACGCGTGAAGCTTCAATTTGACAAGCCATGAGAACCAGTCTCGAGTTTTCTGAGATTTAGGGTTTTTTATTACGTCACAGCGATCTACTAGATCATATCCACAAGAAATACGAAAGCACCAGATTGGTCTAAGAGAAGAATGCAAGAAGGAGAAGCTTGGCTTGAAGGAATCAATGGAGGTTGGAGAAGATGAGTGAGATTTGAGTGCTATTGAGAAACAATGACAAAAAGCGATTTTCATTCAGTTAAAAAGACATTTTACTCCTTCAATTTTTTTGGGTCTGAATTTCAATTTTTTCAAATTTTTGGGGGACAATTAATCAATTACTAACCTTTTTTTTAATGATTAAAAAAATTATCCAATGACGCATCTACATTTTTTTTTCTTTGACAAATAATCTTCTGTTATAAAATATAACGTAAATAAATATATTATTATTTTATTATATGTTTGTAAAAGAATAATTGAGAAGAAAGAAAGAATATGAGAGAGCTTTGATCACTTCTCCCTCTTATTTTGTTTAACATCTATGATGACACATATATATAGGATTTTATTGGATAAGCCCCGTGTTCAAAAAATCGCTAGGCGCTAGTCGGGCGGTGAGGGTGCGCCTAGCGCCTAGCAAGAAAATCGGAGATTACACGGGGATTAATCGGGGATTAGTTTTAGGGCTATTTAATGTTTTAAAAATATATTAATCCATTATAAATAAGAAATTTATATAATCTTGTTTTTAAAATTGCATTAAACACATGAAAACAAGAAATTAAGGTCAAATTTATGATTTTTATAAAAAATTATGAATATAAGTGAGACGTTTTGAATTTTAGATCCAAAAAAAGAAAAAAAAAATGTAAAAAAAAAAAAAAAAAAAAATTGGGCTAGGCGCCGTCTAGGCGGGCTAGGCGGACGCCTAGGCGGTCTAGGCGGACAAAAATCGGATCACCGATTTTTTTTACCGATTTAGACAAAATCGCCGCGGTCCCCACCCGATCAGCGCCTAGGCGGCTAGGCGGCCGATTTTTAGAACAAGGGATAAGCCATACACACAAGATTTTGGGACTAAATTATCCTAGTTATTCGGAGACAAAGTGATTACATAAGATGAGATTAAAATGATGGATAAGCACTAGAATAGTTATCCATTTTTAACATCTTATTTTTTTTTTCCAATAATCTTTTGTGTATATATAAACTAAACCGCATCATCCATCATTCGAGAGCGTAAATGGATAAGCAAGTACAAGATATAACGGTTAATTTACAAGACAAACATAATAAAAAAAAAAAATACATCACACTCTATGAGTATAGAGAAAGCACGAAATTGGTAGATTTTTAATAACAGCATCATAACAATCTCAATAAGGTCAAACATAGAAAAAAAAAAAAAAAAAAAAAAAAAAAAAAAAAAAAAAAAAAAAAAAAAACATAGAAACTAAAAAGTTTACAGCTCATCTTATTGTTTCCAACATATGCTTGCATTATGAGTGCATCTTTCTTACCATCTTAACACCTGATACTAGACTAGTAGTAGACCGTTACCAAAAAGTCATTGAAAGTCTTTCAAACTGAAGCTAAACTTCTCGACGCGGGGTTATAAACCAGTTAAAGCCATTAAAGCATTCAAAAAGTGATCCATCATCATCACTTACTTGACCTAAAAGTGATTCATTATTTCCTAGAAAACTTAAAGCAAAGCTTATTCCAAAAAGTGTCACCCTCAAGAGTATAAGGGTAAATTATACTCAGAGGTCTATAGTATTCTTCAGCAGACCTATGGAGGCTGCCCATCCACCGGATAAAACCGGAGCCGGTGATTTTTAGAACACCTCCTAGTGTTTTTCTCCGAGTTTAGATCAATTTGCTTGTATTTCTTACGTTTAGAACTCTCTACCAGTGGCGGATCCACGGCATACGTGGGGTGGGCAAGTGCCCTATACTCTTTTATTTTTTCAAGTAATTTTGTTATACACTACAATAGTCCACGTTAACAATACAAAGAAAACAACATTAAAAATGCCATATTAACCAATTAAAAAAAAATGTGTACTCAGCCCACATAAATGCTAACAAGTAAAAACGTTAGTTATGAGATATTATAGTATGAGGTGTCGTTGGGCTAAACAAATTTTAAACGATTGCTTAGTTTATTTTGTTAAAACATAATATTGTCATATGAGATAGTAATGAAAATATTTCAAAATATAAAAGAAAGTAAGATAAATTTGAAAAAAAAAAATTATATACTGATGTAAAAAATATTGTGCCCCGGGTTAAAATATGTTCTGGATCCGCCCCTACTCTCTACTATCTCATACCTTATTTTACCCCTAACAGAAGAAGATCCTGAAGAGGCTTGGTTAGATGTGGATCGTGAGAGAGCAAACCTAGTTGGTGGAGGACCCACAGCAAACTCATTGCCATGTAAAGCAGGTGAAACAGGAGGTGGAGGGTGAGATATTGGCGAGTAAGAGGAGATATCTGAACTATGAGAACTATTCTCTAGAGGGTGATGATTGAGGTTGTTTGAACATGTTCCTTCTTCCCAAATAGGCACCACCAAAACATCATAGTTATTGGCATGATCCACAAGAGCAGCTAAATAGGGACAATGATTAGCATTATGATTTATGCGGCAACAGTTAATACATATCCGTGGGAGTCTTTCGTACTCAAAATCTATCATGGCTCCCTCCCTGGATTCAAATCTCACTCGTCTAAAAAATCTCAGACGATCTGTAATACTAATTCACACCTTGATTCGGACAAATAATCTTCTTTTTTTTTTATTTTTGATAAAATATATTAATTGATAAAAAGTTAAAAATATATACTAATTAATACTTGTTGTTTACATGATTTTGTATTAGAATATATATAGCTGGATTAGTTATGGTTTAGTTTGGATAGTATCTTTGGTTGAGTTTACCTTGTATTTAAGTTTTCTCTTGTACACATTTTATAGTTGAATGAAGAAAAAATCTTTTCTCCGATTATGTTATCTCTCGAGCTCTCTGTAATGGAGAAAAGCTAATATTTTGTTTAATCAAACACTAATATACTAAGGGAGACTCACAAAAATGCCCCTTTTTCAATACCCCTTTTCAAAAATACCCCTTTTGGCTGTCCATTTTTAAAAATACCCCTTTTAATGTACAAAATGACTAAATTACCCTTCTTTTAATAAAAGATATCACAAATATATAAGGAAATATAACAAAATTAGGTCCACAAAATACAAAATATTTTTTGGCGGGAAAAGTGATCCCGCAATTTTTCCCGCCAAAACACTTGTAAAAACTTGTAAAACCTTTAAAATACCTTGTAAAATTTTCCCGTAAAATTTTTTCCCGCCAAAAAATTTTTTTTGCTGGAAAAGTGATTTCGCAATTTTTTTGGCGTTAAATTTTTGGCGGGAAAAATTTACAAGGTATTTTAAAGGTTTTTTACAGGGTATTTATAAGGTTTTACAATGTATTTTAAAAGGTTTTACAACGTATTTATAAGGTATTTATAAGATATTATAAGATTTTACAAGCTATTTTATAAGGTTTTACAAGTTATAAGGTTTTACAAGTTTTTTATAAGGTTTTACAAGTTATAAATACCTTATAAAACCTTATAAGTACCTTGTAAAACCTTTTAAAATACATTGTAAAACCTTACAAAACACTTGTAAATACTCTGTAAAACCTTTAAAATACCTTGTAAATTTTTCCCGCCAAAAATTTTCCCGCCAAAAAAATTTCGCCAAAAAAATTGCGGAATCACTTTTCCCGCAAAAAAAAATTTTTGGCGGGAAAATTTTTTGGCGGGAAAAATTTATACGGGAAAATTTTACAAGGTATTTTAAAGGTTTTTACAAGTGTTTTGGCGGGAAAATTGCGGGATCACTTTTCTCGCCAAAAAATATTTTGTATTTTGTGGACCTAATTTTGTTTCAAATAAGGGTAAAATGCTCATTAAAAATTAAAAGAGGGCAAACTTAAAAATGGACTCTCAAAGGGGGCATTTTTGAAAAGGGGTATTGAAAAAGGGGCATTTTTAACAATTTCTCATATACTAATCATAGGGATTTCTTGGTTGAATCATCCAATATCTTTTAATAAATTTGAAAATATCACATATTATTTGAAACTCTCACAAATTATCAAAACCTCTAGAATTTTTGTTTTATTTGTCAGCCAATCCAGAAAAGTAGATGAGCCAATTTGGTAATATAAAACCAGTGAAAGAATTGTGAGTTTAAATATTTTTAATCAATATATACATTATAATCATTAGGATTTAGACCCTCCGCGTTGTCGCGGGGGAAAAGATTTCAAAAATATTTAGAGAAAAAATAACAAATGAAATGTCATAACGAATTGAGATAACAAGTTTCAAAATATTTTGTTAAACAATAAATGAAGATATATTTTACAAAAAAAATATGATAAAGATAGGTAAACCCTCAAAAACATTTTTTAAGATTTGTATTATTATTAGAAAATATTATGACGAAAAGATGCGATCATAAATAAAAAAATATTAAACAAAAAGTTATAATGAGTAGATGCAGTTCTTCAATTTTCTAAAGTATAACTATATAAATATATTCATCAAAATATTACGATAAAAAGACGCAATATTTTAAATTATATTATGTTTAAAGAGACAATCTTTGGAAAAATTTAACAAATAACCAAAATAGGTAATTATTTAGGAAAAAATAATAATGATAAAGATAACAAAATATATACATGATAAAAAAAGATAACTATCTATGAAAAATATCAAACAAGAAGAAATAATAAATTTACACCACTATAAAGACATGAAAGTTTAAATAGAAAAAATTGTTTAGAAAAAACACAATTATTGGAACCAAGTGTTTGTGATGAAAAATACGAATAAAACATGGTGACAAAATAATACTCTAAATGAACAGATATAACGTTAGTAAATGCTTTGTTCAAAAAAAAAAGTTTAGTTAATTTCTCTCAAAAGTATCTTATAGAAGACAATGTTGCAACAGTTCATCAAATATACCTAAAGTTGTAATAATTCATCAAATAAACTAAAGTTGCAATGGTTCATCAAATATATCAAATATTGTAACTGTTTATCAAATAAACCAAATGCTACAATGGTTCATCAGATAAGCCAAAATATTCATTGGTTCGTCAAATAAATCAAATGTTACTATATTCTATTAAACGGTAGCAACATATTCATTTAAATAGTAATTAAAATTAAAAATTGATGAAGGATTATAACCGAAAGACGCGACCGTCGATATCATATATAGTAAAAGTTGTAATCGTTTATCAAATCTATCACATATTGCAACGGTTCGTCAAATAAACTAAAGATTACAATGGTTCATAAAACAAAATCAAAAGTTGCAATAATTTGTCAAATAAACCAAATATTGCAACGGTTCAATTAAACGGTTACAATTTTATTTAAATACATTTTAGTAACTAATATTAAAATAATTGTTTATAAAAAATTACACCGATAGACGTGACCGTAGATAATTAAATGTTATAACGGTTTATAAAATAGGGTAATTTGCAGGCCAGGGCAGAAGACCAAGTTTTATTTTCACGGTTTGGCAAAGTGGGCGTGAGTTCTCATGGATTAGCAATTAATATCTTTGTAACAGATGAATGATGATGTGTACGATTTAGTTAAGGGCTTTAGTTAGACACACTGTTTAGTTAGGAAGAGTTTGTTAGTTTTTTATTTGTCTTACTATAGTGCAAACTAATTTAAAAAAATGTTGTGGGACATAAGCTTTAAATGCTAAAAAGACAAGACAAGACTATTATCCGCTATAATTAAGGCAAACTCATCATTACTTCTCTAATATTTACGTACATATGAAGTAATTTGAGAGATAAAATTAAAAAAAAAACTAACAAACTCTTATGAACGAAGGTGATAGCAGAGAAGTTTTGATTTTTATGTTTAAAAAACTTTGAAGCGAGATAAACGTTGATTTATTTAGGGCCTGACTGGTTTAAACGCAGCGGGTGCGGTTGCGTCTGCGGGAGTTTGCGGAAGCGGGCGGTTACGGTTTCAAGCGTTATGATGCATTTTGAACGACTGGTTAAGCGGTTGAAAATTGGTGCGTTTGCGGGAGTTTTATGACTGGTTAACCAGCGGATGCGACAACGGTTAAATCGAAAATGATCAAAAGAAATATAATTTATAATTATATAATAAAGTATAAAAACACCAAATATTTATATTATTATGATAAAATACAAAACAATTTATAGAAAATTAATAATAAAAAAATATATAAAATTACTACATAATTAAAATAATATATTTCATAGTTAAGTGCTTATTACTTCATGCATTTGGTTCATAAAAAAACAGCATCAAGTAATATAACAAATTACAATTAAAATAATATGACAAACTAAAAAAATAGATGTTTTGAATTCTTAGATCCTCTGGATTAATAATTTTATTACAATACTTTGTTTGTATTTTGTGCTTCTTGAGTTTAGATTAACGCCATAATTTTGGTAAATAGAAAAAAATTAGGGTTTTCAGAATTAACGTTAATATATATAGGGTTTGATAATTATTTTTTAAAATTTTTTTTTCAGCTTTTTTTTAAATTTATTTGTTATTTATGTAGTTTTTAATATTTATATATAGGATTTGAATTAAAAAAAAAAAAATTTGCCAACCGCTACCGCCCGCAACCGCAAACGCTTGCGGGAAGGAGCTTTTGAATTCAGCGGTTCGGAGCGGTCTAGAGCGGTTCGGAGCGGTATAAAACGTTTTTTATGATTGGTTTTAAACGCTAGCAACCGCAACCGCCCGCAAACGCAGCGTTTGCGGGTGGTAGCGGGAGAACCAATCAAGCCCTTAAGCAGTCTTATGCTATTACATACACTTGGATTTTGCTTTCTAAGAAAACAACATTGTTTTATAAAGTGTGTACAGTAAAACCTCTATAAATTGATAATGTTGGGACCGCAAAATTTTATTAATTTATAGATGTATTAATTTATAGAGATTTTTTTCTAATTTCGTAACTTTTTAATATTTTATGAAAATATAAGATTTTCTTCATAATAGAAAATATATTTTTAGAACCAATTATAAGTAAAAAATAATTATCATGTCTACAAAACGACACCAAAAATTATTGATACAGTAAAAATATTAGAATTAAATTCAAACAAGAACTAATGCGAATTTAAGCAAAAAAAAAAAAAAAGCCAATACAAGAATTATATTTCATAGAAGTCTCTTACATAATATATATATAGTTGATATATTTATACAATTATTAACTAGATCTTGAATTTTATTTATTACAAAATTTATATAATATATATATTAGAACTAAGTTTTAATATATTATAATAGTAAGTGAAAAAATATTAATTTTTTTGTTCTAAAATAAGATTTTTGTAATGG